CAGGTGGAGAACCACTGTTCTACACTAAAGATATCACTAGAAAAGTCTTCGACTCTGGCAAACACTTAGCAAAGTAGTAGGATACAAAAATCAACATACAAAAATCAGCGGTTTTCTGTCTCAATAATGCCCTTATGTTGATAATACACATGCTAAGAAAGAAAGCAAGAAAACAAATCTTATTTACAGTAGCCTCAAAAACAGTAATGAAAACCAAACATAAACCTAACAAAGGAAGTGAGAGACTTATGACATCAAAACTTTAAAGCACCGCCTAAGGAATTTAAAGAAGGCACCAGAAGACAGACCTTTCACTGTTAATGGATTGATGGGATTAATATTATGAAAATGGCTACATCACCAAAAGCAGTCGATGGATTCAGTATGACCCCATCAAAATTTAATGATGTTCTTCACAGAAAGAGAAGACATCCTTAAATTAATATGGAATCACAGAATATGCTGAATACCCAAAGAACCCTAAGCAGTGACAGCAGTGGCAGAAGTATTCTAATTATACCACAGGGCCAAAGTAACAGAACCAGAGTGGAGGTGATACAAAACCAGACAAATGACCCAATGGAATACAGTAGAGACTCCCAAAATAAACCCACTACAGCCTCTTGATTTTCAACAAATATGCCAAAAATATATGTTGGAAAAAAGGATGGCTTTCAACAAATGGCATTGGAAAAATCAGGTCATCCACATGTGGACGTCTTAAACTAGATCACTATCTCTCACCCTGAATAAAATTCAATTTATGACTGATCAAAGACCTGACAATTTGAAACTGCTAGAAGAAGAAAAAAAACAGAGGAAATACTTCAACATATAGGTATTGACACACAAGCAGAGCTTGCATCTCAAAGGAGATAAAGGATCATTTATTTTGGAGCCGAGTATGAGTGACCATAGCTCCAGAATATAGATTAAATCTTCTCTAAATTCCATGTCCCAGGCAGGTCGCATTTCTTATGAACTGTTTATAGTGGCGGAACAAAAGAAAGCCATCGTGGAGGTATTTTCCAAATAGGTTGGTGGGTAGAACAGGGAGCTGGGTTAAAGCAGGAGGGAACTCTGCCTTAGGCCTTAAATGCTATTTGATAACATCTCATCCCTTGGTTAGTGGAAAACTAGGGTTTTGATAAATTAATATATTCTAAAGGGTTTTTTTTTGATCTGTTAGACTATTAGGTGGCTTTATCTCTTAGTAATGGAATATTTGTTCTCAATGCAGAGGAGGGCAGGGAATGGTTATTTAGTAGGCTAAAGATAGCCCATGATAAACTGCAATTAAGCTCTGGGTTTGCACCATTCTGTTCTCTCCACATGGCTGAAGTCAGTCAATCGGCCTTTACAGACACAGCTTCTTTCCAGGAATTCCCATTCACACAGGCACAGGCGAGGACTTTCTGAAAGGGACTCTAATAGCTCAGGAAAAAACTGCAAGAATTGACAAATGGGATTGCATGAAATTAAAAAGCTTTGGCACAGCAAAAGAAACAATTACCAGGGTGAAAGGTCAGCCCGCAGGATGGGGGGAAAATCATTGGTAGCTATTCATCTGACAGGGAATTAATATCGGGAGCATTTAAGGAGCTAAGAAAATTAAACACCAAAAGACAAATCATCCAATAATGAATTGAGCAGACAGTTCTCAAAAGAAGTAGTACAAACAGTCAATAAGCAGCTGAAAGAAAAAAAAAGTTCAACATCCTTAGCCCTCTGGGAAATCCAAGTCAGAACTACATCGAGATTCCCTATCATCCTACAGAGAATGGCTGTGTTATAGTTTGCTTTTAGGTTGCTGTGATGAAACTCTCATTGACTGAAATCAATTTAGAGTAGAAACAGGTTTATGTGGCTTTGGTGGGGGAAGTCAGGGCAGGAACTCAAGCAGAAACCATGCAGGAACACTGCTTGCTGCTCCAGTCACTTGGCTTATGCTGAGCTATCTTTCTTCCTAGGGGTGGTACTGCCCACAGTGGGCTGGGCCTTCCTACGGCAATTAGCAGCCCAGCTAATGCCCCAAAGATACTCACTTGGGCCAATTTGGAGGAATTTTCTTTTCCCAGTTGATTCTACTTATGCAAGTTGACAATAAAACCTACACAGTACAGGCCACCATCAAGAAGATAAACAAGTCCTGGTGAGGATGGTGGTGGTGGGTGGGATTTATGCACTGTTAGTTGGTACAATTATACTTGAGCAGCGCATCTGTGGAAATAAGTATGGTCGTTCCTCAAAGAACTAAAAGGAGATGTGTCACATGACCCACTTTTACCATTCCTGGGTCTTAAGTCAAACTACCACAGAGGCACGTGCATATCCATGCTTACATGACACTGTTTGCAACAGCCAAGGTATAGACTTAGCCTCGTTCTCTGTCGGAAGATGAATGGATAAAGAAAACACAGCCTAAACACACAATGGAGTTTTATTCAGACATACAAAGGATGTTTGTCTGATTCCATTTCTGCAGGAAAATAGATGTAACAGGAAATCAAGTGAAATAAACCAGATGGGAAAAGATGGATGTCACTTGTCTCATCTTATACCTGGAATCTAGATTAAACAACATGTTAAAAAAAAAACATGAAAATGGATGGGAGACTGCTTGCAAGAGGAAGATGATTAGCAGTAGTTGTGCAGGAAGGAAGATCAAGAGTGGATAAAAGCAGCCTGCACGATGCTCGTGTTTCTGTGTGTTGTAGCAAAACTCCTTGTTTTGTACGAGTCTATCCTAAAAAAAAAAGCAAAAAACAAAAAACAAAACAAAACAAAAAAACAGAACTGTTTGCTCCCAAAAGTTCTAGATGCAGCACCACAAGGCTTGGTGGGAGATTTGGACTGTTGTGAACTTTTAGCCCAGAGAGATGGGATGGGAGGGGAGAGGAGGCAAGAAGCTTGGAGAGGGAGTTCTGTGTATCAGCACTGACACAGAGCAGAGGGATGCTGTCATCAGTACACGATGTTCAGCAGTTTTCTGGAATCAGAGGGTACTGCTGCCAGACTGAGGACACATGCCCATGACCATAGCTCTGTGATTACACTCTGTAGAAGTCTGGAGTAAGCAAAGCAAAGCCATGCTGGGCTCTTAGAGGGAAAACAGGACATATGAAGGACCTGTGGCTCAGACAGCTCTGAATTTTAAGAGCCACACTGAGGGCACAGAGACTAGGGGGCAGTGATTTTATTTTAGTCCATGTTGCAAGAGAATGAAGAGATTCCTAGAAACTGAGCACTCAAAATTGGACCTTTCAAATGTTCTTGGTGAAGAACCTACCAGGGAATGTGTGCGTTCTGGGCTTTGGACTGTCTGAAGACTATCTCTGCTTGGACAGTATGAGCCACTTTGACAAGTCCTGTGATACAGAGGTGGGGGCACATCTGGATGTGTTCAGAGGCTGAAAAGCTGAGCAGCTCTAGCCCCCTCACCATGCCCACACTCAGCTTACCAAACCCCAGCTCTGTGTCAGAAAGCCTAGGAAGGGTCCCTGTCCACTCCAGGGAGATGATGCCCCAGGCTGACCTGTAGCCTTCACCTCTAGCTGCGTTCCCTGTTCTAGGGCACTACTGCAAAAAGCCTGCAGCGGTGCCTGTGTGTGTAACTGTTTTGTTGGCTTGTTTGTTTTTCTTCAATTTCTTGAGACAGGGCCTTACTCTGTAGCTGAGGCTGGCCTGGAACACACTGTATGGTCCAGGTTTGCCGCAGAGTCATGGTGATCCTCCTGCCTCAGCTTCTCATGTGCTGGTATGACAGACACTCACTGTTAGAGATGGCGTCTGCTGTACAGTTTCTCAATGAATTCAATATACTTCACAATGATGGGGAAAAAACAACCTTGAAAACAGGAATTAGGTGGACACAGTCTTTGCTTTCTTTTTCCTCTACAGTCCACATCAAGGCTGTTCAGACTTCCCCGAAAGCCAGGCAGTTCATCAAGTCTGTTCTCTATCACCTGGACTGATAAAGTTCCCCCGAACTCTGTGAGCCCCCATCCCTCTTTCTGTAAAACTGGGGCATAAGAACCTCTTGGAGGGGGGTGGACACATCTCTTCCTGTAATAATAACCACCTGGTTAGCTGGCTGATCTCAGGGCTGTGCAAAACACCCAGTGAGCCAAAGTTCTTCCCATCTTGCTGGGTGTTAGATTATAACTCTGCAGCCATGGTCCCAGTCCAACCTGTGTCTCATCATCAGTGGCCTGGGGACAATTTCTATCTAGTTACTTACCATACTCAGAGTTTCTCAGAACCTCTGTCTGCCTCCTGCCCTTCTGTTGGGATGGTTTCCCCTGGATGGCATTGTGCTGGGCCATGATTTGGATGTGGCAGCGAGTATGTTATTACAAACCTTTTCCTCATGACATTAACCTTCTGAGCTAGTCAGTGTGATATGGACAGAGGAATAAGCCTGGTCTCACTCGTAGAAGGCTGTAGCTTGGACTGTGGTACACTTTGGTGACAGTCACTGTTCTCTGAACACCATTTGTGCTATGTGTTTAAAGTAGTCAGTAGATCTGGAGAAAACCACCTGTGTCAGACCCCCATTATGGCCTACAGAATGTAGGGGGCCATTGATATTTCTGGTTCATACCAGAATTTGGTGGGCTGGGGCAGCTGAGTTCCAAGCTTGTATGTCTCTATCAAGCTGGTCTCAAGAGGCAGGAACTGAAGCGGGGTTGGGGTCTGAGGAGTGGGTGAGGCTGGCAACAGCTCTTCCAGATGCTGGTGTATGAGCATCGGGAAAGGGCTGGGTAGGAAGAGACATTCTGAGGGGGAGTGGGGCTGCAGCCAGATGGTTGGCTTTTGCAGATGAGTCTAGCAGGGTCCTACATGAGATGGGTCTGCTGAAGAGGCCATTTCAAGGACAAGAACATACAGAAAAAAATGTGGATGGGAGAGCTCGGGAACCCGTACCTACACGGTTTGGAACCGCAGGCGTTTGGAAGCCCTTGGGGAACCAGCCTGTATGTTGTTGGTGGGAGGCCTACCGTGGACTTGGTCATGTGCTCCAGGGCCAGCTGCATGAAACACTTTTGCCAGGTCTCCTCCAAGACATCAAGGGCTCCAATGACTGCCACCAGGACCTGGAACAGCCGGAATCTGTGTCGGCAGGAAATCTGTGGAGGACAGAGGCTAGATAGAGGCCATGGTGTCTGACAGCGACAGGGGATGCTGAGGAGGACCCTACTGGGAGGACATTAAAGGAGGCTGGGGGAGGGAGCACACGTGGGCACATACATTTGTCAATTCTTAGGAGACACCTGCCAGGTGCTAACCTTGTACATAGCCTACAGACTGGAGGAGAAGGAACAGCTTGTCTGTCCTCAGGGAACTGCTGTGGATTTAAAAGCTCCACCTTTGAAGTGAGGTCATCTCTTCATCAACACATGGGCAGGTTTTCCCCATCCATGCATTAATGCATTTGCGCATTCAAGTATTCACAAATGAATGCTTCCATCACCATATTTATTCAGTACCCACACCCCCTCCTTCCCTCCTTGTATCAACCCACCTTTCCATCAGTCACTATAGCTATCTACCCACCAATCTATCCACCTAACTCTATATCCACTATATCCACCCATCTGCCCTTCAAGCCATCATCCATCCATTTGCTCACCCCCCAACCCACACATTCACCCACCAGATCCTACCATTTACTGGTTCTGTGACCTTAGGCAAATCCTCCTCTTCCCCAAGCCATAGTTCTCCATCTGTGAGAGTCATAACCTCTACCTCATGAGTGTGCTCTGAACATAGTAAGGGGAAGTGGATACACTTCCCTTCCTCCTTATTTAGTCTACTGGTATGCAAGAAGATTGATTTTTTTGTGTGTGCGTGTGTGCCAGAATGATGCAACTTTCCCATGTAGGGTTCAGGGTTTGAGTCCAGCTTGAGATCCAGTGCTCCCCTATGCTCCCATGCCTGCTCCAGGGGCCTAAGCAATACCACCTCTGGGTTGTTTTTGAAGTAGTCATGGATAGTTTCCATCACCAGGTTGGGAGACTTCTGAGCCATCTTCTTTATCTTCTTGGTGATGTACTTGATTTGGAGAAGGTCTGAGGTGCCTATGTCTCGGAGCATCTTGAAGCAGACGGCTAAGGATGACAGGAAGGATGTGAGGGTGACAGGACTTTGGGAGGTGATATTGTGGCAGAGGATTGGGTGGGTAAGGAGGGGCAAACATAATGAAAGTGAGAGGCCGACACATTGGGAAGTTGTCTGATGTTCTTGCTTTCTACGTGGTCTCTCATGGGGTTTAAGATGGGACGGAGCAGGAATACATTCTCATCGGCATATTCTCATTCATAGTTCCCTCTATTCATTCACCCATCTATCCACCCACCCACCCACCCACCCGGCGGGGGGGGGGGGGGGGGGGGGGGGGGGGGGGGGGTGTGGCGCGTTATCTCATGTTTGTTCATTTCATATTTATTTAACCACCCATTTACTCAGATACTCTGAAATCCACCCACTCCTACACCTAGATAACTACTATCTAGTAATACATATTTTGATCCATTTAGCAATATATCCAACCATATAATCATAAATCCACCCAAAAATCATCACTTTATCCTTCCATACACAAATTCTTTGTTTTTTCCCCTCAACGGTCTGTCTCATCACCTGATACCCTATGGCATTGGAACGAGGAGGAAAGCATTCCAGAAAGAGAGGTTCATGGCTAAGCTGAAGCTCTGAGGTATAAAGTAGTGTGGTTGGTGAGAAGGCATGGCTAGGAGGAGGAGGAGAGGTCATTTTTCATTTATTTTGTTGGTGCTTCAGGAGGCAAGAACAAGCCAGGGGGCTCACAGACAGCTGTGCATGTCTGCAGCCTTTGTGATACACAGAGTCCCAGGGAGGCGCTCCTTCTACCCCTTGTCCTCAGGATTACTTCCGGTGGAGGGACTGGGTGGGACCTGTTGTCCAGGCTACCCTCACCTGAGTTGTAGGCCTCCTCCATAAATAACTGGTGTTCTAGGGGAGTCTGGCTACTCTTGGATCTGCACAGCAGCATGGTGGTAGTGTGGGTCTCTCTGTCCCAGGAGGCATGGTCTTGAAGTTCCTGGGTACATGTCGACGACTCCTTCGTAGGAACAGAAACGTGGGAGAAGATTCTGAAATGGAGCAAGTTCCGTGTGTGTAAGCATCATGTGCACCTATGTATGGTCAACTGCAGGGCACATGGCATGTGGTTTACTCTGGATCAGCCTCTGCAATGTCCCTCTATGTGTCTGTCCTTCTGTTTAGTGGTCTGGTAAGCCTGAAGTAAGTGTGAGTGTGTGTGTGTGTATGTGTGTGCATGTGTGTGAATGTGTGTGTGCACATGTGAGTGTGTGTGTGTGCATGCATGTGTATGTGGTTACCTTGAGGCTCTAGGACACTGTTGAATAAGTCAAAGCATCTTAGACTGGGTCTGACCCCACATAGGGTCATGTAACTGCATGTATGGAGCTTTAAACATTTGATAACAGTAAAATATTTCTGAGCATGCAACACCAAAACCAAATTCAAAATCAAACATACTGTGAATTGAAGATATTTCTCTGAAAGTGTTTGCCTGAGCTGTGCTGTGTGACTTCACCACAGCCCGGGTCCTGAACATACCACCCATGCATTCTGCACCACACACAGTATCATCGAAAACAAACTTTGAATAGTTCTCTGCCAGCATTGCTCAGCATGTAAATATCAAATTAGTGTAACTTTGGACTGTATTGTGTTATACAAACAAGCACATCCATCTCATTAGTAACTAATTTGCTTTCATCTTTAATAAATGGTAAGATCCTACATACCAAATAATTGACTAAGAGAAAATGCTTTGTGGTTTTATGATCAGCCCATTTTTTTTTTCATTTTTCTTTTTTTTTTTGGTTTTTCGAGACAGGGTTTCTCTGTGTAGTTCTGGCTGTCCTGGAACTCACTCTGTAGACCAGGCTGGCCTCGAACTCAGAAATCCACCTGCCTCTGCCTCCCAAGTGCTGGGATTAAAGGCATGTGCCACCACTGCCCGGCAGATCAGCCCATGTTTGACTTGCTTGCCTGTTGTATATACCTGTCTTTGGGGATGTTTGGCTTGTATGCCTATTGTATACATCTGTATCCCTGAGGTCTTGTAAAAGTTTCATAGGCAAAAGATTCTTATGAATGGAGAAGTTTAAGGTCTGGAGTAGGGGGCTTGGTCCAGCAGGAAGACAGAAAGACACACTAAGAGTCAGAAGGGCTCAGGGTGGCTCATCCTGGCGCTCTCTCTCATATCGACGTGGATAGCCAGGGTTTCCAGAGTGGCATAGGTAATATCCTGCCTACCCAGATATGCCTTGAGGGGTCTGCATGTATGTGGGCAGATCTGCAGGAGGAGTAGCAGCAAGAACACAGATAATTCGGGGCTTTATGTTTTGTAAAAGGGTACAAATTATCTCCCTAGACTGGCAGTTACCATAAAGGGCCAGTCTAGAAAAGGGCCTCTGGCTTTGGATGCTGCCCAAATCTAGTTCCTGTGTGCCTCCATATTGGCTTCTGTTCCCTGCTTCTGACTGCCATCTGCTAGTTCATATGTAATTCTCAGTTCCACACACTTCCTATGGGGAAGGCCTGTTCTAGAATAAGTGAGAAGGATAACCATGCCTGCAGACTAAACAAGATCACGAGGCATATTATAAAACAGCCATCATGAGTGTATTAAAAGGCAGCCATCATGGTTATACTAGAAGGTAGCAGTCTCTAAATGTTTTATTTATTGTTTCACATGTGACACTTGCCATACCATGTCTCTGATCCCTGCCACCTGTGCATCCATCATGGAGGCACCAGGACCAGATTTCTTTCTTGCCTGGCAGAAGATATAGAAAATCATGGTCGCCAGTAGACAACATCAGTACAGGACAATGATCCCTGAGAAATGGAAATCTACAGGGTGAGCTTCTGGCTATGAAAGCTGGTTGCTGAGACACAACCTAGTTCCCAGTGGAGACCAGGAAAGCCTGTGATGTTTGTGTGCTGCTGACCTGGAGGTGGTAGGGTGGGGAGACCTCAGTGATCAGTGTTTGAGGGTAGGAGGCCCAGGAGGACCTCTGAAGGTCTCCAGAGTCCCCTGCAACCCCATCTTCATCTAACCTTGGTGCGCGAAGGGTTAGGAGCAGAGGAAACAAGCTTTGGAGCTGATGCAGGGCTAGGAAGCATTCCCTACATCTCTACAATGAAGTCTTTAAGGAGTTGCATCAATTACAGGGAAAAATTCACCCAAACAAGGATGCTCTTGCTCTCCCTGTCAAAGCCCTAAAAAGCAAGGCTTGAAGGGACCAGCTGTTTTAACAGTCCATATTCCAGACAGAGTTGAAGAATCTTTGTTTTTGTTTTTTTGTTTTTGCTTTGTTTGTAGAGACAGGGTTTCTCTGTGTAGCCCTGGCTGTCCTGGAACTCACTCTGTAGACCAGGCTGGCCTTGAACTCAGAAATCCACCTGCCTCTGCCTCCCAAGTGCTGGAATTAAAGGTGTGCGCCACCACTGCCCGGCTGAGTTGAAGAATCTTTATGTGTGCAAGAACTGCATCTTACTGACCGAGGTCTAGTTCATGGTCACTGGCAGTCACTTGAAATTTACCAGAAATGTAACATAGTAAGCAACAGTCCACAAGGAGAAGATTAATGGGCCATAATCAATATGGAAATCCAAGTATGAGGTACACCCAGTGTTAGGGAGGCTGAGGTGGGAGGACCTCTCAGCAAGATTGGTCTACAGAGCAAGTTCTGGGCTAGCCAGGGCTACACTGTGAAATCCTGTCACAAACAAACAGATGCATACCAATGCAGGAGTCACAAAGTCAGTAGGCAAGGTCACTGAAACAGGTATATTCAACATGGTAGAATGAGACGTAAGGATGCTAAGGAAAAAAAGGGAAGACATAAAAAGGATGAGAATCAGGTTTCAGATGAAGACTCCAGCGGGTGGCTCCAGCAGCAGGCTCTACACCTAGGAAGGAGAAAGTGGCAAACAGCAAAAATCTGAAAATGAAAACACAAGCAGACTGGACAAGTTTTCAAGTTGTGGGGGCAACTTACAATCTCTTACTACATTCCAGGTTTGATACAGATCTACACATCTAGGACACTCAATGAGCCGTGAGCAAAGAGACATGGAGAACACACCAAGTGGCATCAGGAAAATGCCACCTAACAAAAAAAAAAAAGAAAAAAAAAAGGCGCCAGGCGGTGGTGGTGCATGACTTTAATCCCAGCACTTGGAAGGCAGAGGCAGGCGGATTTCTGAGTTTGAGGCCAGCCTGGTCTACAGAGTGAGTTCCAGGACAGCCAGGGATATACAGAGAAACCCTGTCTCGAAAAAAAAACCAAAAAAAAAAAAAAAAGAAAAAAAAAAGAAAAAAAAGAAAAAAAAAAAAAGGAAAATGCCACCTGAAACCAAAGGCAAGAAAAACAAAACAAAACAAAAACCCACGAAGGGCAACAGTGATATAGTAAAGGAAATAAGGGCAGCAGTGTCCCTGTTAGAACCATGCAAAACAGAAGAGCAGAAGGGAGGGGGAGGGACCTCAGCTATCTAGAAGACTCTGTCCAAGAAAATATCTTTGAAACCTTCAGGTAAGATATGGCACTTTTCACAGTGTGCCCCTCCCCCATGAATTCATCCCCAGAGACCCAGACCACAGACAATGTTAGAGGAGTTCACCCCTCATCTCCAGCCTCTGAGGCAGGAGACTGACAGATCCACGTATGGAAATAGAATAAAGAACACTGGAGAGGCTTAAATATGCAGCCGAGTAGAAAAGGTCTCTGCTCATTTAAAATATTTACTGTGAACTAATGCATTGTGGGCTTGTAACACATGCAGAATTAAAATATGTAACATCAGTGTAAGATCAGGGGAGAATCGTAATGATGTGTTGACAGCTTTGGCACGGTAAGTGATGTGACACAACTCAAAGGCTGTACTGCGTACTATAAATACCTAAGTGATGACAAAGAAGGACATCAACACAAAATCAGAACTGCAAAAAGACAATGAAGGACACAGGTCAAGAACACCAAGTTATATCAACAGTCACACGGAATGCAAGTGATTCAAACACTGCCACCTAGCAGCAAAGACTGCCAAAACGAAGGAAGAGAGATCAGGTCTGTGTGTCCTGCGTGAACTGTATTCCTGCTTCGAGTGGCACGGCCCAGCTGTAATCCATACTCACAAGGCTGAGGCAGGGGAATTATGATTTCATGGTTAGCCTGGGCTACATAGTGAGATCCTGTCTTAAAAACAAAACAACAAAACAGTTGCGGAAGTGACAGCTCAGATACTAAGAGCACTTGTTCGCACAGAAGAGCCAGGTTGGATTCCTAGGACTGACAATGTTGGCTCACAACTGTCCATAACTCCAGTTTCAGGGGTATCTGACACCCTCTTCTGAACTCTGTGGGGACCCGGCATGCATGCAGTGCACAGACAAAACACTCATACACAAAAAATAAACAAATCTCCAGGGACTAGGATTCTACCTGTAAAAATAAAACAACATATTAAGCCTAAGGAAAGAAAACAACAAGAACTAGAAGGTTGGTGAGGCACCCGAGTGGTGAGAATATTTTAATCAGGCCAGATGACCTGAGATCAATCCCCAAGACTCACAGGGTGGAAGGAGAGAACTGACCATAATAAGTAATCAGAAACAAGCAAAGAAACAGTAACAAACCAAAGTGGGGAGGATCAGGAAGGAGTTAGGGGAGGAAAAAGAATGTTATCAAAATGTGCTGTATGAACAAAATTTTCAAAATAAAAATGAACCCCTTCTTCCCAAACAAATAGAGAAAACCAACGAAGCCCGATACCAGTTCTTTGAAAAGCCAAATTCATTGACAAATCCCTTGTGGGTTTATTGGAGCACAAAAAGCAAAAACGATAAGACACAAATGATTAATTTAAAATAGAGTGGTGCCTAACTATACATCTTTAGGTGTTTGTAGGATGATACAGGAATAGAATGCATAACTTTACTTAAGCTAGAATGCAATGTAAACAGATTTGACAGACACTTAAGGACATAAAATGCTAACACTCATTCTAGAGGCAAATAACAAAGCTCATATATGGTAAAAATTATTTTGTATTGGAATGTCCTAAAGCGAA